TCGGTCTCTCCAAAGAGACTCTAAGCTTCACCATCTCTTCTTCTAGGGAGTGTGGGGTGCAGGGGAAAGAGGATTGGATTCGGACTGGGACTACATGAGTTTAAACCCTCGTTCTACAGTATAACGGCGGAGACCCTGGGCCAGCTTCTTCGCCTCCCTAAGCATCAGTTCCCAAATCTTTAAAATAGGAACATGAACAGTAATTACTTCATGGGAGTGAGGATTAAATGAGTTTACCCACAAAACGCTTAACAGACTAGTTGGCACAGAGGAAAGTACTTAAAAATGTTGGCTATAATTAGTCCATGCCGAGTCTGTTAGGGTCTTAAAAAATAGCCATTGATGTGACACATCTGCCCACACTGTGGCACTGAGGGCAAGCCACCTGTGCTCGAGAGTATGACCGTCCCTGCTTTGGGGCCAGAATTGTACAGTATGGCAATATGCTCTTCCTAAAGGGGAGACGTTTGTTCTTAAGAAGAACAATTCTGTCTTGAATATTTAGCATGGCTTTCTTCCAAAAGCTTCAAACTATGGCCGTGCATCTATCACGCCTTCACAATGGCTTCTCCGGATTGCTAAAGTCGGGCATTGCTTCCAAATTTTTCTGCAGCAGAACTGTGGCCCTCAGGGGCCGGGGTGAACATGATCAGTGACCACACCTGAACTGAAAGCAGACCCTGCCTTTCGGGTCGCTGGGCAGCGCCTGCCCCGCCCCGTCTGGAAGCCTGGAGACACAGCAGGCGGCGGCAGATAGCACGGACTCCCCAAGCCCCACAATTCGGGGTTCACCTCTGCTGTGCAACAGCCCCTTGAGCACGAAAAGTTATTAAACCTCTCTTGGGCCCAGTTTATTTTGCTTTTCAAATGTGCACAGCTTCCAGCTCAGTGCCTGGAACAGAAATCATACTTAAAAAGACTTCCCTTTGCTTTACCAACACTCGGATTTGCCTGCCTCTGACCACGTCCAGGTGGAGACCCAACTAGGCATGTCAAATGCCCAAACCACACTCCTAACCTTCTCCTCCTGCCGTCTGCTCCATCTCGCAAATGCCATCTCGCCCCTCCAACTGCTTCAGGTCGACTTCGATTCCGATAACTCTCACTTCCCACATCCAATCCTGATGACTTGACCTTCGAAATGTAACACGATGATGTCTTTCACCTCCACCGATCCAGACAAGTCGGAGCCAACCCCACGTCTCACCTGGATGACTGCGAGAGCCCCCGAATGGTTTACGCTTGCCGTTCCTTATGGCCAGGGCACTATTCCCTTCTTCCCGCAGCCGGCCTGCTTGCTTTCTTCATCTCCACAGGCTTTTGCTTAAATGTCCCCTCTCTCGTAAGAACTCCCGTTACCAGTCTATTTGAACATGAAAACCACACATACACATGTACCCACAGGAATCTCTTACCTCATTTCTCTTCCTCAAGAGCACTAGTCACTGTCTACTCTGCTATATAGTTCACATGTTTGCTTGTTTATTGTGTGTCTCAAATACCCACTCATAGGGTAGAAATTGGGCTTGTTTTATTCTTGTACCGTTCCCGATAGTGAGAAAATGATTTGGTAAGCTCGGTAAATATCAATGAATGTGCGACTCCTAATTCTAGCCATTACTGGCACGTCTGATTCTTTCTGCTGAGAATCAGTGGCTCTGGAAATACCTCCGGTGGTTGGAGCAGGTGCAACAAGGGCATCAGCACTGACCTGGGGAGGGAGGCAGCTCCACTTAGGTGAAGCCGAGGCTCAGGAAGTACGGAGACATCTCCAAGAGGTCCCCCTGAAGCAGCCCGTGGTGGAGGCTGAGGATGGCTCTAAGCCCCTACTAAAAGGCTCCTTAGAGCTTCTCCACACAATGAATTCAGGGAAGGGGGATTTCACAGCACCATTAGCGCGTCAAGGGCATGTACACGTGATCTGAACGTGAGAGGTGCTGCAGCCCCAGATCACTGGCTGCTCTAAAACAGATGAATTAACAAGGCCAAGCGGCATCCATGTCACTCAAAATGTTTACAGTGAAAGATGTCAACTGCAATTATGTTTATCAGAGGGGAACTCTCCCTCTTGGATCAGAAGATTCTGTGTTTATGGGTCTGTCCTAAGGGGCTTACTTCCTGTTCCATGACCTGGCTTCTAATTGGTCCAGTTTAGGAAAAAAAAAAATATCTCTCTCTCTCTCTCTCTCTCTCTCTCTCTCTCCTCACTCACTCACTCACTCACACACACACACCCCTGTACAAAAGAGAGCCACATGGAGAAGAGCTTACTTATTTTCTTTTCACCTCCATATTTTCCCAGAAAAGGTAGGGTGGGCCTGGGTAAACCTCAGATGCTTTATACTCCCTGGCTGGTGATAGATAAAAACGTGACACATTCTGCCTGCTGGTGAGCTCCTGGAAGGCAGGCACCCTGTTCTCACAAGTTTGGATGACAACGCCACCTAATGTGCTCCTCAGCACAATGGGGCCTAACAATGCCAGAAGTAAACCTATGAAAGGATGAACAAACAAGATGCAGCCCGCTATCTCAGCTGCCTGTGTTTAAATGCCCCCTGTCCCTGTCCTGTCCTTGACCCATACACTCTGCTCTGCCCCAGGAATAGCCTTGAATCACAGAACCCTCCAAATCCTTGGACCAGCCCTGGAAGCAGTAAAAGCCTTGTGGCTCTCCCTCCCATGGATGACATCGGGGACTACTCACCATGATCATACTGTTGTTATCACTGGCTACAGAACTCTACTTGCTCTACGGTGGGTCCTAGCTGGGCCAGAAGAAACGTGCTTTCCTACCTACAATTAGTGACCACCAGTTCCAGTGATTTTGCTGAGCTACGCTTATCCCAGGGACACTTGTAACTCTAAATGCATCTGCAGGTTGAATTGCTCAGGGAGCAGACTCTAGTTAGCATGCAGGAGGTTAATTTAGGGAGGGCTCTTGGGAACAGCACTGTGCAGCACAGGGCAGAAAGCACGCCTGGGCAGAGGGAGAAATCCAGCTGCGAGGCAGTCTGAAGGGACTGCTACAGCTGATCCTGCAAGATTCAGACACTCAACAGTCATCCCACACACCATGTGCCCCAGGTACGGGGCGTGGCCATGGGGCATGGCCTCCTCACCTGAGGCTGCCCCCCAAGGAGGCTGACAGCTGAGGCCTATCTGCAGGCAGCACTCCCAGCAGCTGGAGTAATGTGGGCAGATGCCCAAGGGGCATGTGGGCATCTCCTGCATACAATCACTCCTTTCAGGCAGGAAAGAACATAATGATCACCTCCTCTATGATGCCCTCCCAGCTACCTTCTTTGACTCCCTTCAGGAAAGGCGGTAACTCTCACTTCCCTTCATTGCTCATCTCCTTATTTCTAGAACCCAGTGCACCACCTCATACCCAGCGGGGATGCAGTAAGTACCTGTTGAACAAATACAGTAATGAATACTGAACATCAGCATAAAAATATGAATAAAATACCACTTAGTTATATAAAAATAACAAAAAACAAAAAACGCTGCCCCCAAGAGATTCAATTTGATCAGAAAAACAAGCAGAAATGATTGGGAAACTTGGAGACACACACATGGAAGGCCACATACACACACGTATGTTATGGTCTCAACCCTGGGCACGACCCTGCATCCCATTAAGCTTCGGTTGCTTTATCTGTGAAACACAAGGGCAGATCCAAGCATCCTATGAAGAAGAGATCGGAAAGCTGAGACACACTCAGTTTCGGCAGTTTTGCTAAAAGATGTCTTTATTAGTGTCATTGACACCGGAAAGTTTTGATCCAACGAGGAAAAGAGGCTGAGGGTCAGAGAGCCTCCCCCACGACCTGCTGAGGGCTTTTTTTCAATCAGCCCAGAGCAAAGAGGCTCCAGGAAAGAGGCAGGGACCAGGGTGGGTAAGGAATATACTCTTCTGTCCATGAATGGAAACGGAAATCAATGGGAATATCCTAGAACTTATGAAAATGCCGTCATTTAAAATCCCTAAGTGGTAACTCACCTTCACAGGATAAGGAGCTATGGAAAAGGTAGGACGGATTTTAAACACAGAAGCCAGAGTGCAATTTAAAAAAAAAAAA